ACAATGTAATTAATTTCGTGACATTTTTTACGGCTTACACGACAGTTTTAGACATGTGTGTTTCGTGTTGACGTCAAGGACAAAGGCTGACATATAGCTGATAGGTACAGACAAGAAATGAGTGCAGACTTAAGACAAGTGACAGTTTAAAATAGCGTAATTTATAATTAGTCGTTATGCAGACCTGAATGTCAACTTGAACTCAAACAGAAATTTAATTACCTGGATTGTAATCGCCTTAGGCTCGTGTGCAAATCAATTACACTGACACCGAAATTATTACCTTAATTGACATGCCAGTCAGGTAATTAAAACAAACACCCAAAGGTACGCTTACAATGTCTTGAATGCAGAGAACGCTTGAAAAAAATATCAATAAGATTTTGTACACCGATTTTAGTCAGAATTTGTCTTCCTTGAATGCGAATCTGTATATCGTTGTTTAAAACGCAGATTAAATCTTCGGGCTTTTTTTTTTTTTGCAAGGAAGTTTTCTGACCGAATGGACAAGAGCGCATTCCAATTGCGTGAATATCTGTTTCACATATAGATAACTGAACTTTCCGAAACGTCGTCACCTTACACGTGAAAATAAATAATAACTATTTTGGAGAGAGAAAAAACTGAACATCTAAAAACTAGGTTTCAACTGAAATACTGATATAATTCAGGGGGATAATAACACTATATTTAAAAACTGGAGAGTTTTCATAAAAACTGGAGAGGTGTTATTGAGAAAGTTGATAACCATGCGCTACCTTGTAAAAAGAGGATTGACGATACCAAACAAACGAAGCGCATCTGTATAAATGATTTCAAAGAGATAGAAATGAATTTTTTTCCACGGTCTGTAATTCAAGACTTAAATCTAAATAAGATTAGCAGGTCGAATGAATTTAAATGTATGAAGGGGATGTCTATTTTTCTAAAATATCAAATGAAGAGTTAATTACGTGTACATCCCTGTAAAGTGGCTAACAGACTGTGTGGTATCGTTAAATCTAATGGTTAAAATACGTGAATATTGACGCAGAAAAAGCACGTGATTGTATCACTCCATTACTTTTATAGTCGCTTTACCGCCATCCCTGTCGATTGTGATCGTGCTATATTTAACTAATGCATAATTTATTCAGAAATATTTTATCAGTCGCCGGGATTTAAAAAACGTGATTTTATGACAGTTACGGTATTGTTAAATATATCTGTGTGACACACGCGAGAAACTCGAGTGAGAGGTATTAATGTTTTTAGTACAAATTACAGGTGTCGCCAGCTGGCTTTAATTAGTATCGCACACCGTTAATTATTGACGTTTAATAACGGTATCTGTGATGGTTGTACCGTTTTACGACTTTTAAAATTCTTGGTGGCGTTGTCGCTTAAGAAACAAACCGACTTTGAATTATCATTTGAACTTTATCGAGAGTCAATAAAAAGGTCAGACACCCCATTATTAAAATAAAACCTACACCATTAGGTATTTAAACGGTAACTGTTTGTGGAAAGGTACTGATTTAGCACTTACCTGTTGTCCAATATATGTAGATCATTGTGTTGGCCAACAAATATCTCCTGAGGTGAAAAGATACAATTCTGGAAATTTTGTTATCGGGGTTTCATGTTAAAAATCGCTAGATGCACTCTTAAACGTCCTGTAAACAGCCTTATCCTATGAAGATGGATTTATGAGAGAATATTTCTTATGAATTTTGGTGATACCCAATCGTTGCCTCCTTAGGGGTCTAAATAGCGAATTAACCCGTTTGGTACACTAGGTGTTATGATATGTCAGTGTGATGCTCGCAAGGACCTTAATTTAGAAAGAAAGTACATTTAATTTATTTGATATATAAGTTGATAAAAGTTAGCCAGAGGGCTATCGGATTATCGGTGTGAAAATACTGAAAATCGACGAGTTTTGCCGTTAATGTTATCAAACAATCACCATTTCAATACCTATACATTTTTATATCGGTCTATCAATCAATTGCTAATTTATGATCAATTATTGCTGGACTTGTAAGAAGGTAACTTCCAGTTTGACAAGCATAACGTAAGATTCCAAACTTATCACAGCACGTTAACCCGGCCAGGTGAATTGTTAATTAAGTCGCCTAGGTACAAAAGCATGTCCCTACAGGTGTTAAATGGCCAGGTAACATAATTAACTTAACACACAGAGTACGGGGGGTTGCTTGTTTTCTGGTATTGCACCAATACGTCAAGTCATTAAATGACCACAACGCGCCATTAATTATTCAATGGAAATTGTCAACAAGAATTGGTAAACGAAATTGGAAATCAGCGTTCATTTATTGCTAATTGCATTGTAGTAAGATTTGTAAAATTAACATCGTCCTGCCAAACATAAGGTGACATGTATAAATGATGATAAGTACTTCTGTTTAATATACAATTCCACTGTTCGTAGTGTGTTTAGGAGGTAGCTGTTACGACAAGTCTGTGGCGTTCGTGTCTGCGTGCAAGGTCATGGCCGAACGGTACATAATTAGTCAAAAGAAAGTTTGGAGAGAAAAGCGATATTTGTGTGTACCATTGTTGTGTGATTTTTTGATTTATTAATCAGATCCGGACCACAGGAGTGTATTTCACAGTACGTTGAGTACTTCCCGTCAACACAGGGACCTGAGAATTTATGTATATTTGGACCTAAACTAAGATGTTCAGAGTATTTAGTAATTTTACACGTTTTAGGGGTTTAGATAAACTTTCGGTATAAATGCCACCCCCAATGATGATATGTTCGTATATATCATCATTGGGGGTGACATTTTACCGAAAGTCGGTCTAAACCCCTAAAACGTGTAAAATTACTCTGCACAACTCAATTGAGGTCCAAATATAGCTTTAACAAATTCCCAGGTCCCTGTGTCACTCACTAGAGTAATAGTATTCAGAGTACTCAGTCCCACTTCAGATGTAATTCCCAAAACACACATGTAATTTAATGAATTCTGTGAAGGGATTGATCGGTAACATCAGTAGGGCTTTTAAAGCAAAAAAACACTAGCAGCAGATTTATTAACTCCTTATCGGGGAAATGAGTCATATAGTCCATCAGCATATCGGCATGCGTGTTACATAACTCTGGTTAAATGTGACTGAAAGCATACAGTCAGCCAGAAGTCAGGCTGACAGCGCATTGCCTCTCTCTTTGTTTAAAATATAATAATGTAATTTTAAAAAAATATTGATTGATAATGATATGCAGTCAATGCAAATCGTTCTTTTCATCTTTATACTTTTCACAGCGTTGTAAAATATTCACAAGGTATTTTGGTTGAATCAGTGCTATCACACGTGGGACCAGGCACAAGTGTTAGCGTGACGGTGAAATATATTCTAGGAATTAATTACACAAAATATTGATTGGATGTAAAATGTGTGTCTCAATCCCCTACCGTATGTGTGAGCGCTATAGCAGGTCACACTGTTTTCAGGGAACGTATATATAGTACACCATAAAAACAGTCTAGACTTAAGGGTGTATGCTACATGTACCCTATTGTGAGGTACATCGACTGAAAGAAAGAGTTTCGTGGAACATGTAAAATATAACGATAACAATGAATAGTTTGATTAAACACTCATATATTAATCTAGAATGACTAGGCGATACAAATTTGAGAAGAAGAAAAAAGTGATAAAAACGTCATCAAACTGTGTGCACCGTGGTAATACACAAGTACGAGTGGTGTTAATGCATACTATTTTACTCAATCATGTATTATTTTAAGATAAAAATGTGAGTGTGTGCGTGTGTGTGTGTCGGNTAATTCAATCTACATTTTATATCACACATGTTGACGCCGTATTATTTTGTTAGAGTTATATGTGTCACATTACAGCTCAACGTCGGATTACTGTATATACTTACAGCCTAGATTGTGTGTCACTGTATGCAGTACGTCAGAGGGATTATTGTACACACAGAGAGTACAGATCCGGCTGACAGACTCCTTATTTGGTCTTCATGGGGTAACATATAAATGTAAACCATCGTTATGTATCATAATAAAGACCTATATATTTACAAGCATGCTCCAGAATTACACACCTGATGGAGTCACAGCATGCATTTCACAGGGCCAGTGTTAGAAAATACCTATCTTTACTGTAGATCTGTATCATATTTCTTTATATTAGATTTATGAATTATGTGAAGTTTTGTAAGTTAAACACTGCCGCAGTGCCGTATATGGTGAAATGTATTTATGGAATAATTCCTCACGAAAATTCACATCTTCAACAGGTATACTAAGATACGTATGTGGACTGAGATATTCTTATTCATAGCGTACATGTACAACATACTTAGATATTGTCATACAGTTGTAGATTTAATATTCACATTCACAGTGTACACCAGACTTACATGTATACAGATGTGGATTTAGGTACTCATATTCACATCGGACAACAGACTTACTTACAGATGTGGATTTAAGTATTCACACTCACAGCGTACGACAGACTTACATACAGATGTGGATTTAGGGATTCATACTCACATCGTAAAACAGACTTACATACAGATGTGGATTTAGGTATTCACATTCACAGCGTACAACAGACTTACATACAGATGTGGATTTAGGTATTCATACTCACATCGTAAAACAGACTTACATACATATGTGGATTTAGGAATTCACACCCACAAACTACAGGCAGATAAAGATACAGCTGTTGAACATGACTTCCAGCGATACATGTCGACATTTTATATAATCAGATTCATGACTTAAACTGTCTTCTCAAACAACCAGAAGACGGTTTAACTGATTGTCCAACCAAAAAAAGACAAAGGTGTAATACATAGGATGTAAAATGCTTACGTACAAACATAAAGTACGAGTGTTCCTATCACCCCCCNGTGTTTCAAAGTGTATTATCAAGATTAACGTTTTAAAAATGTAGTACATTCTATCAGAGTAAATTACCAGCACGTGATTGTAATGTATTTCAACACTTACCCGAACCAAAAAGATCTTCTAAGACTCCATTCCAGTCCGTTAGATTTTTACTGCGATAGTTAGCCTCCGTCATCATCATTTTAAACAGTTTAGCTTTGTTAAATCCCAGGTAAGAATTCACACAAAATTCAAGTAGAAATTCTATTCTGCTACACACCTATGCAGGCAGGTATCTACAGGCTCGCTGGCTAGCCAGGTATTACTACTGCACAGGGGATACATCATCACACAACCAAAAACCACACTGAATCCCTCCAGGTAACATGCACAGGTAAAATCGCCAGGTGAAAAACGTAAACCTGGACAGCGATTACAACGAACGCAGGTGATCGTCAGTGTATTGTATATAAATAACTATCCCCCTGATGAGCTGTGTACAGGTAGGTTATGTCGGATGAGGGTAGATATCCATATCTACATCTTCAATCAAACATTTTACCTGTATACCTGTAATTCACAGGTGTAAGCGTCTACATGTCAGCACATCAAGCATCCGATTAGCAGGTACGCTGCTACAGGTGTGATACAAGGTAAATACATGTGGCTCTTGACAGTCCCACAGTCGAGCATGTGGTCTGAAGCGGAGTAATGTAAACTTGAAGGTCACGTGACGAAATCGACGAAATTAACATATCGACTTTCAGTTACTCAAAGGTAGAATACAACATATATGCTTTCATTTTTACCTGTATTAATCTACACACAGTACTGAATACACGAGTGTGAGTCCCACCGTAGGTACTACAGAAAATGAAGTAAGTTTGAAGTTCGTCTTTCACTGTGACAAGGAAAGCGACAAATATTGACAAAGAACTTGGAACATTTCTGTTACAAAAGGGGGCGATTGTGTGTCCCCGCGTGGCCCACCAGTGCACACAATACCGACCAATATTACTCAAGAATACTCAACGCCCTGTCGGCTCGCGATCGCCTAGCTAAATACACTCGTAGATACTGTAGCTTCGTTTTCTATTTTTACAAGAAACTTCCTATTGGGAGTAGGAATGGCTAATGACATTTATGTAACAAAAGTAAAGTCAGGTATGCATTGTATGATTTATTATATCAAATATTGTATTATTATGTATTGAAATGAAATTATTGATTTCTCCCTACCTGTCGCGTATAACCGGGATATATTCTACACAGTGCTGTCCTTCTACAGAAAATACAAACACTCTTCTATTAATCAAAATATCGCTTTACAAGCCAGTTTCCAAACCAATCTTAACTTGTTGTTTGTATAATTTCGTCCTATATATGACTTAGTTTATTATGATGTTTTACCCCGGGGCAGAGGAGAGAGAGAAATACAGCCCACGTACCGATTGATTAAGGCGGATTGTATGGACCGATATATATGTTGTATCGATTGTGACACAGGTGGATTATCTAACAATGCGGACAGGAGACAGCTGTCTGGGTACTACAACATACATCAATATAGGACACTAACGATTAAGGTATAAACGAATGACATAAAATACAGGTATAAACATCACCAACGGACACCAACTACAGAGTATAAACATCACCAACGGACACCAACTACAGAGTATAAACATCAACACAGGACACCATGTACAGAGTATAAACATCAACACAGGACACCAAGTACAGAGTATAAACATCAACACAGGACACCAACTACAGAGTATAAACATCAACAAAGGACACCAAGTATAAAGTATAAACATCAACACAGCACACCAAGTATAGAGTATAAACATCAACACAGGACACCATGTATAGAGTATAAACATCAACACAGGACACCAAGTATAGAGTATAAACGTCAACACAGGACACCAAGTATAGAGTATAAACATTAACACAGAACACCAAGTGCAGGGTATAAACATCAACACAGGACACCAAGTACATAGTATAAACATCAACACAGGACACCAGGTATAGAGTATAAACATCAACACAGGACACCAAGTAAAGAGTATAAACATCAACACAGGACACCAAGTATAGAGAATAAACATCAACACAGGACACCAAGTATAGAGTATAAAAATCAACACAGGACACCAAGTACAGAGTATAAACATTAACACAGGACACCAAGTTCAGAGTATAAACATCAACACAGGACACCAAGTATAGATTATAAACATCAACACAGGACGCCAAGTATAGAGTATAAACATCAACACAGGACACCAAATACAGAGTATAAACATCAACACAGGACACCAAGTACAGAGTATCAACATCAACACAGGACACCAAGTATAGAGTATAAATATCAACACAGGACACCAAGTATAGAGTATAAACATTAACACAGAACACCAAGTACAGGGTATAAACATCAACACAGGACACCAAGTATATAGTATAAACATCAACACAGGACACCAAGTACAGAGTATAAACAACAACACAGGACACCAAGTACAGAGTATAAACATTAACACAGGACACCAAGTTCAGAGTATAAACATCAACACAGGACACCAAGTACATAGTATAAACATCAACACAGGACACCAGGTATAGAGTATAAACATCAACACAGGACACCAACTACAGAGTATAAACATCAACAAAGGACACCAAGTATAGAGTATAAACATCAACACAGGACACCAAGTACAGAGTATAAACATCAACACAGCACACCAAGTACAGAGTATAAACATTAACACAGGACACCAAGTACAGAGTATAAACATCAACACAGGACACCAAGTATAGAGTATAAACATCAACACAGGACACCAAGTACAGAGTATAAACATCAACACAGGACACCAAGTACAGAGTATAAACATCAACACAGGACACCAAGTATAGAGTATAAACATCAACACAGGACACCAAGTATAGAGTATAAACATCAACACAGGACACCAAGTATAGAGTATAAACATCAACACAGGACACCAAGTATAGAGTATAAACATCAACACAGGACACCAAGTATAGAGTATAAACATCAACACAGGACACCAAGTATAGAGTATAAACATCAACACAGGACACCAAGTACAGAGTATAAACATCAACACAGGACACCAAGTACAGAGTATAAACATCAACACAGGACACCAAGTATAGAGTATAAACATCAACACAGGACACCAAGTATAGAGTATAAACATCAACACAGGACACCAAGTATAGAGTATAAACATCAACACAGGACACCAAGTATAGAGTATAAACATCAACACAGGACACCAAGTATAGAGTATAAACATCAACACAGGACACCAAGTATAGAGTATAAACATCAACACAGGACACCAAGTATAGAGTATAAACATCAACACAGGACACCAAGTATAGAGTATAAACATCAACACAGGACACCAAGTATAGAGTATAAACATCAACACAGGACACCAAGTATAGAGTATAAACATCAACACAGGACACCAAGTATAGAGTATAAACATCAACACAGGACACCAAGTATAGAGTATAAACATCAACACAGGACACCAAGTATAGAGTATAAACATCAACACAGGACACCAAGTATAGAGTATAAACATCAACACAGGACACCAAGTATAGAGTATAAACATCAACACAGGACACCAAGTATAGAGTATAAACATCAACACAGGACACCAAGTATAGAGTATAAACATCAACACAGGACACCAAGTATAGAGTATAAACATCAACACAGGACACCAAGTATAGAGTATAAACATCAACACAGGACACCAAGTATAGAGTATAAACATCAACACAGGACACCAAGTATAGAGTATAAACATCAACACAGGACACCAAGTATAGAGTATAAACATCAACACAGGACACCAAGTATAGAGTATAAACATCAACACAGGACACCAAGTATAGAGTATAAACATCAACACAGGACACCAAGTATAGAGTATAAACATCAACACAGGACACCAAGTATAGAGTATAAACATCAACACAGGACACCAAGTATAGAGTATAAACATCAACACAGGACACCAAGTATAGAGTATAAACATCAACACAGGACACCAAGTATAGAGTATAAACATCAACACAGGACACCAAGTATAGAGTATAAACATCAACACAGGACACCAAGTATAGAGTATAAACATCAACACAGGACACCAAGTATAGAGTATAAACATCAACACAGGACACCAAGTATAGAGTATAAACATCAACACAGGACACCAAGTATAGAGTATAAACATCAACACAGGACACCAAGTATAGAGTATAAACATCAACACAGGACACCAAGTATAGAGTATAAACATCAACACAGGACACCAAGTATAGAGTATAAACATCAACACAGGACACCAAGTATAGAGTATAAACATCAACACAGGACACCAAGTATAGAGTATAAACATCAACACAGGACACCAAGTATAGAGTATAAACATCAACACAGGACACCAAGTATAGAGTATAAACATCAACACAGGACACCAAGTATAGAGTATAAACATCAACACAGGACACCAAGTATAGAGTATAAACATCAACACAGGACACCAAGTATAGAGTATAAACATCAACACAGGACACCAAGTATAGAGTATAAACATCAACACAGGACACCAAGTATAGAGTATAAACATCAACACAGGACACCAAGTATAGAGTATAAACATCAACACAGGACACCAAGTATAGAGTATAAACATCAACACAGGACACCAAGTATAGAGTATAAACATCAACACAGGACACCAAGTATAGAGTATAAACATCAACACAGGACACCAAGTATAGAGTATAAACATCAACACAGGACACCAAGTATAGAGTATAAACATCAACACAGGACACCAAGTATAGAGTATAAACATCAACACAGGACACCAAGTATAGAGTATAAACATCAACACAGGACACCAAGTATAGAGTATAAACATCAACACAGGACACCAAGTATAGAGTATAAACATCAACACAGGACACCAAGTATAGAGTATAAACATCAACACAGGACACCAAGTATAGAGTATAAACATCAACACAGGACACCAAGTATAGAGTATAAACATCAACACAGGACACCAAGTATAGAGTATAAACATCAACACAGGACACCAAGTATAGAGTATAAACATCAACACAGGACACCAAGTATAGAGTATAAACATCAACACAGGACACCAAGTATAGAGTATAAACATCAACACAGGACACCAAGTATAGAGTATAAACATCAACACAGGACACCAAGTATAGAGTATAAACATCAACACAGGACACCAAGTATAGAGTATAAACATCAACACAGCACACCAACTACAGGGTATAAACATCAACACAGGACACCAAGTACAGAGTATAAACATCAACACAGGACACCAAGTACAGAGTATAAACATCAACACAGGACACCAAGTACAGGGTATAAACATCAACACAGGACACCAAGTACATAGTATAAACATCAATACAGGACACCAAGTATAGAGTATAAACATCAACACAGGACACCATGTACAGAGTATAAACATCAACACAGGACACCAAATACAGAGTATGAACATCAAGACACGACATCAAAAAAATGTTTAGGCATAAGCAAGAACGCATTTAAAGAGGACACCAAAAACATTTACAAACATAAACAAAACACCAAACACGTAAATAAATGGCAAAGAACGTAGCGGTTAAGCTGTTTATGGTAACCACATCGTAGTTGACCATGACCAGCCGGGGTTAAATCAGGTTGTAGTTTATATTCGACGTGTGAAATTTCTTCTACACATTTGTACTCAATTTAACGTGGTTCAACTAGAACATATATCACAGGGACCTTTAACACGCCCTCTAGCGTCATTTGATGTCATCGGAATTAGGCGGATCTGATTGTTAGAC